TGGTGAGACATTAAATCGAAGTGAAAACCTATTGCTGGTGTGCGTCGTCTATAGATACTACATTTACAGCTGGTTTGTGATAAGCATTTTTTTTTAATTACAATATACATGCGTGTCATTCAAAATTCCATGTTAATATATTTTTGTCCAATTTACTAAGATCAGAAACATTCAATAGAGTTTAACGCATTCAAATTGAAAATTTGTACCAATATAAGGATAGCTACATTCTGTTTTATATTTAGTTGACAGAACACGCAAATACTGAATTAAAAAAGGATGAAGTATATATGCTATGGGTTGCATCACAGACAAGCCTTCCAGCTGCAAAAGCAAAATTTATTATGTTGCTACCTACTTGTGGTATTAAAGCATGTGCTAAATATCAGTTTCTAGAGGAGAATGATGAACAGTGCAGAAGCCTATGTGTACAGAAACCTGGAACTGCTGGCTTTTATGTCTTACATGTTACAAGAAAAAGCACCAAGTTTTCAGCTAGAACAGCTTATTAAGGGAATGATAGGTTGAGCTCCTGACTAGCTTGATTTTATGGCCACTGTGAGTGTACTGTTGTACAAGAAGATGGAAGTCAAGTACTTCCGGTGTGTGTGATATATGGTTATGTGATGAATGCCAATGCTCCAATCGTAAGGTATCATTTTAGTAACTACAGGCAGTATTTAAAAAACAAGATAAGCAAAAAGTTGTAACAGATTGAAAGAAATATCATTTTTACTTTATCTTTCTTTTTAGTGAAGCAATGACTTCACCCTAACAACATCAACAGGGACAGTGGAATATAAATTCCTGAAGCGTGGATGCCCACGATCAAAAACACAACAACCGGAGAGACGTACGACAGCGGACTGCCGAGGATCGAAACGCGCCAATCACAGCTGTGGAAAAAACAACCAGTTACAGCGGAGCATCCTGCTTTATAAGAATGCCCGAAACCTGTCGATCTTATCGCCTGATGAAGATTGGCAGTATGCAGTCGAAACGTCGCGATGCACATCATAAGGGACGACATCATGTGACAAACGTGAATACTTTATTAATAAGACTTGAACTAAAAGTTGTAACGGACTGAAAAAATAAATTTTACTTCATCTTTCTCTCTAGGGAAGCAATTATATAATTTTATTCTTGAAACATCACAAGCTTCAAATTTGCCAAATGTGAACCTTCCATATTTTTTTTCCTTCATAAAAACAACCAACCCCTAACTTTGATTAACCAAACTGAATCATGTAATAGAAAGAGGATAAAGCAAACTCAGAGCTTGTGTTTTCAAGGTTCAAATTATATCATTGCTTTGCTTCTCTTTTTCTCTTGATATTTAGGAGGGATGTGGGTATTTGATTCATATGCATGTGTTTTCAGTAAACTCAGTAAACAGATTCTCTCAGTTTCTGCTCTTGTTCCTCAGACATTTCAGAGTTCGTACTGGTATTCTATTGGGTTCTCGATCACGTCTAAATACACGATAATGTTTACGTAGCTTAACAGTAAATCGATGATTTGATATTGCATAACCCTCGATAGAACGTTCACTCATAATAGTTCGCTCGTAAATTGATCTCTCTTAAAGTTCGCGGACGGCGGGTCTACCCCAAACTGTGGTTACCCATGTACGTGTTTTTAGCGTCTTACACTCCTAACTATTCACTCTTTCTTGGATCATCAGCGACTACACCTTCGATAAATCCGCCATTCCTCAACCATGTGCGCATTCTACGCTGACTACGCATGCGCTTCATCACCTACCCTCACAAGTGCGCTTTAGTGTGGCTGCACGACAACACTAAAAAGAAAGCCCAATTTACAACTCGGGGCATTCTGCGAAGCCCGAGTAATGAATGCATCCAGATATTATATGGATTACGTTTCAAACAAAAAATGGTATTTCTGACGATTGAGTCTGCGAATAAGGCAGAAATAAATATTTTGTCGGCACGAGATACGACAAGGCCCGGGCCTTAGACCCGAGCATCATGGGTAATGATGCAGTGGTATATAAGGGGGAGTATAGCACGTGGCGTCCATCTAGGCCTCAGAACCAACCGTCCACCTCTGACTGATGACAAATTTATTTTAGTTTGAAAACTTATTTTCTTTAACTGTGAAGCCTCGTAGGACGGGCTGCCAACTGCTCTGAGTGTGGGCCATGGTTCCTACCCAGATTTCCTGTCATATTTTTTCCCCAAAGGGGTTTTTTTCTGGCAGGTTTTTTCTGGCCTCCGTATAACCGTATTAATGTCCTTGTAAGCGGTTGCCCACCTCTGTTAATCCCGACTTGGTGAAGTGTGCATGTTAGTAATGTATACCTATTTTGAATGTGTAAGGAATTGACTTTATATCAGGATTGTATATAGTATATCAGTTGCGAATGTATGTATGCACGCCTCGGGCTATATGTGCCTCGGGTTGGTTCTCGGCAGGCTTCCCTAAATAAACTTATTTGGTGTACACTACTGTGTTTTTTGTTGTATAGTGGAGACTAAATATATATATTTTCTTTTTTTTTCACCTTTGTCGGTAGAACTCTGACAAAAAGTTCGCGTTTAATATTTGTGGTCAAGTCTTGATCGCCTGTTTGTCTGACCTTTAAGCTAAATACCTTTTGGTGGATGTTAAATGAAACAGCGACCCTTAGGTAGATGTTATTTTTCGAATGTTGATTTGGTCATTCAGTTTTTAGAAGAACAAACTTTCCTTTCTTTGTTTGTCTGACCTTCCATGAAAAGTGTTTCATTACAATTTATTTTCCTTTAACCGACTCTGAACTGCTTTATTTTCAATACAAAGTTAGGACTGCAGCTTACCTTTCTGCCCGAAATCCTTTGGACCTTTGAACAAAGTGAACTTCGTTGTCGTTTGTAATTCGTGGCTTCGAATGATTCTTTTAACGTTCTCAAAATCTTAGACGTAGCCATAATTGGCAGAAATCGTAGTAATTTCCCGCCATTTTTCGACAACGCGGCAGTTTTCGTCATCACATCGAGACAGTCCACGGTTGATTTTAAGCGTTTCACCTTCCGGTAAATTCGTGCCACCCGAAAGTTTTCGTAACGCAACACCCAAAACCGTGACCACCTTCTGGACGATATTACTTTGACGCGACCTAGGATCTGGGGTCGTATCAAGTCTTGTTCTCTAATCGTATGCCGACGTTCGCCATGGATGCAGTTACTCTAACATTACGACCAGCTGATGCTGATGACTTCGATGAAATAGTGAAACTTTCAGAGGGAATTTACGCAGGACATGATTATCTTCCGTTGATGTTCCGCCAGTGGCTTCAGAGGGACAACGTAGTTGTCATACTTGCCCATTGTGGCGTTAGACTCGTCGGATTAAGGGCAAACTTCGTAGTAGATGACGGCCGCACTTTGATTCATCGAGCGGGGCGCGTTCATCCAGATTATCGAGGTCAAGGTATTTTCAAACAGGTCGGCGAGCACTCCATCAAACATGCAAAAGAGCATTATCCTAATCTACAAAGAAAGCGGTTTACTTCCATTGGTGACACTGAAATTCCGGATCCGAGGAAACTTTTCGAGTTGCATGTAGAAGCGTATCACGTTGAGAAAGAATTCTGTGACAAACTAAAGGCAACAGTCTTGACAAATTCGATGGAGATCAAGACTTGTGCACCTGATTATTTCGCCAATATTATTGAATCTTTACCAGCCAGGCTGTTCACGAGGAACTCTATCCTAAGTAACTGGTGCCCTTTCGAAAGACTACGATCCAATGTTGATCACATTTTACGAGAAAGTACTGAACTCTATGTGGAGAAATGTGATGACGACGTTATTCCTAATTCTCTTAGTGTTGGCACGCTTTCCCCGAGAGTGAAATATAAGCAATGGGTCGCTGAGGTTTATGCCGATTCACCAGATCTTTTTCAAGCTCACATCGTGCATCAACTAAAGCGTGCTTGTGAATTAATTAACGACGATTTTATTTTCATATTTACGATGCAAGACGAGAGTTTAAGTTCGCTCCTAAGGATCATCATGAAGGACCAACTACAGTTCAAAACGGCTGACTTCTATCATAACAAGACACTGAGAGTGTATGAGATGGACATAACCGAAAAATCCCACCGTTAAAATACCCCACTCATCCGATTCTGCTTTAAGACATTTCAAACCTGCTGCTGACTCGTCACCAGTCTTTATTCTCCTCTTTGCACCAATGAGTGCCGCTTGTGTTGCGTTGTGGTAGCGTTATTTTCAATATAGCTGAGTAAGCGACAGAAATCGGCAGATTTTGACTGAACATTCCGTAAGGGTTAGGCCTTTTTTTTTCCTTTGACCATAGGTACAAGAAATTCGATTTATTCTGAATGTGTAGAAGTAGTTTTTGTACGTATTTGTTGCGTATTTTATGGTTCTCAAGGACAAATGCAATCACTGTTTTTTTAGTATTTAACTAGACGCTCGAGGAGCGTTCACTTGGGCTTCGTATCGAGCGTTTTACTTGAGCATTCACCTCTGGATAGTTTGGTATAATTGAATCTAATCATGTCTCGCATATTGGGGCTCTATATTCATTTAAGGGGTCATCATTTTCTTCTTCGTTACTCTTTAATTTATCATTTTCTTTTGCATCATACCCCAATGCAGGACCACTATCTGTTGTTACATTGTTTGATGTAGCTTGTTGATGTGTATCATTATCGTCTGCATCATTTTATAAAGTTGTTAGGTTGCTATCAATATTGTTAATATCAACTAGTATGTCTTTGTACAATGATTATGTACTTTGAGCCAGTTAAGAACTAGCGCACTAACCATGAGGCCACCGCACCTCCACTACATATAAAATAAGGGCCTTCTCTTATTTTTGTCTTAAACTGGTTAATACACAATTCAACCGATCTGGTTTTCACTAATTTCCCATTGAGTTGAGAAAGTAATCCTTTCTTCTTTCTAGCATCCATAGTTGAATATTTCTTTTAATGTCTTCTAGAAACCTTTTTTTGGAAACAGGTTCCATGCTGTCATACATATGTTTTTTTTTGTTTCTGTTTTCTCATGATGTGTTTCCTTCAATTTCAGTAATCTTACATGAACAGCAGCTGAATTGTATATCATATTCCATAGTCTAACATTCCTGTTTATTTGAATAAAATTATTAATTTCCTCTACTAGATTATCCACAAAGAGTAAATACTTGCAGAAAACCTCTGTCCAGAACCACAGGCCTCTCTACCAAAAGAATACTTTGTTTAAGTTTGATACTTTAGCTAACTTGCTTTATTTGCAAAATAATTAACATTGAAGGCATCAGTACATACACATTAACGCAACTGCCAAAATTTGTTTCAGCCAGAAACTTGTTTATTTTTTCAATTATTAATAATCATGATGTTATCCCACTCATCAATCTGTATGGCCTTGTACAAATGTATGAAACATGTTTCTCTATTATTTTGTTCACAGGATGCTCAAGTAAAGATAAAATCTCCAATGATTATTGTTACAACCACTGCTTTGCCAAGCAACTGAGCTAAAACA